TATTCCCACATATCTGGATCCAGAATCCTCCCGCTCTGCTGATGGTGCCTTCTGCCTAGAGAATGAACACCAGTTCAGTCAGACCCTGGACACACTGGTGGCTTCTAACTGCTACAGAACATGGAGGGAGAGGTGGTAGACAACAGTGACATGATGGAGCTCTGCCAGTCCTGTTACAGTTAAGTTCCCCCTGTCAAGAGTATCCAGGGTCGGCATCCTCAAACCCTCACTACTCACAAATAATCTAAAACTGCTATTGCTGGATACTCTGATTTTTCCAAGCCATGATTGAAGAAGACATGTCTGTACCAAGTGTGCTATAGACCCAGATGAGCCACGGTTGTCATCTATTGAACAAGGTACCAAGTCCCCATGAGCCTCCTCCTCCTACCAGTCATTTTCCACCAGCACAATTTTGTAACAACTTTTAAGCCTTCTCATTTTGTGTTAAAGTTAGTATAATGAATCCCCACTCAAATCTCATGTAAATTGCCAAGTACCTCGTACTGTGTCAAACACTGCAATGGCCAGAACATGAGAGTACCAGACATGACAAGCCTCAGCACTAAAGATACACAATGGGCCCCTGCTCTGATCCTCCCTGCTACTATAGGTGCAGGGCAACAGAGTTCTGGTACTTGGAGAGGGGTGTAGCAGGCTAAGTGCCACCTGCCTTGGATCATAATTCTGATCTCAGTTAACATAGACCTTGCTTGCCACTTCCAGAAACTGAGTAGCATTCATGCCTGCAAAGCCCTTGAGTTTCTGGAGCTTTTGATGAATGTCAGGGGCACTTTGAGCACAAAAGTGCTGCTGACCTTCTGTTCATTTTCTGGGGCTTCAGGGTTGAAAGGGGAACAAATCTGAATGCCTCAACTAGCCACTCATAAAAATCTCCTGGTGCCTCATTACTCTTCTGGATGACAGTTATAATTTTGGCTGTGTGGTGAGCTTTCTGGATGCCACCCAGAGACCCCTCAAGAGTATCTCTCAGTAGTGGTCTAGGAGGACTATTTCTTCTGGCTGGTAAACTTTCCAGTATGGAGCCTGGCTAGGAACAACCTGGGGGACCTATGTGTCAGGATGGAATGTCCAAGCTGGGTACTGTTTTTGAGTCCATTTGTGGGCCTTGAGAATTCTCCATCTCTCTTCAGTATTGAACAGGGTCGGGGGTGTTGGCGACAGTCCCTCTATGTTAGATGATGGGTTTGGAAAATGGTCTCAAATAAAATTAAAGTGCCTGCAGTTACTCCAAGGAAGAGGGTATATGATGTTTTCAATTTAAAAGGTTGGTAGTGTTGAATGCCTGATTGTAGATCATGACAGCTGCTGGCTGAACATTGCCATCTGCTTCAATGACAGGGGGTGCCCTTGTCTTTCTCAATGGTATCTGTAGGGCTAGTAGAAGGTTGTTCTGTGATGCCCAGAGACATTGATTTACTGGAAGTTGGGAGACATGGAGCCATAGGAGGTAGAATTGCTTCGGACAGATCCGGGGGTGGCTAGGTTTCCACAAGCCCTGCTAGTGGAGCATGGATACTGAAATTGGTAAGAGTGTGGCAGGACTTTGTCCTCCATTGTTTTGCCCTGGAAAATCTTTGGTGAGGGTTTTCCTAGAGTCAGAGTGAGAATGTTTTGGATCCCAGACCAAAAGAAGCCATGGACAGCCATGATTTGATCTAGGGAAATTGATATGGGTATCTGAGATGTTCTGTAAGGACTCTTCAGACTATTTGATCTATGGCAACATGTTTCATTCCCTCTGAGGGCCAGCCAATACTGAAAGTGGGCCACTCAAACCAACACAAGGTTCTAAGTGTAGCACAGATTGGTTTGATTCCATAATCCTCACTAAACCTGTTTTAAAATGTTTTAACATGTCTAACACAGAAAGGGATCCATCCATTATGCAACCACACTATGATTGTAGACACAGGATAAACAAGGGAGTTGTGCCTCCAATAAAGATCAGCCAGATGCCTATTTGAGCACATTCCTTATTGGAATTTAGGTGATAATTCACTGTAGCAATGTCAGAATGTGACTCCAACTACCCTTGACCATATGAGGATCACCAGAGAACTTCAGTTTCAGGCCCACTCATAACTCATAGCTTCTACTGGGGACAACAGATTCAAACTGCCAATGCATGCAAAAGCAGCCATACATTCAAACACCTTTCAGAGTGTAAAACATTCCCTCCCTCTAAAGGTGAGTCCCATCTTGAAACCTAAAATAAATATTTCTTGGAGAGTCTGCCATCCACCCATAGGGTCAGGCATGTCTTAGACTCTGGTGACAGGTGATTCTTATCTCATTTGGTGTTTCCAGGTCCAAATGCCCCAAGTCTCTGTGAGTCTGAATGAGCAGCAGTGGTCAGGGTGACAGCAAGCTTTTGCATAGGGAGGATTCTCTCCAAAAGTATTGGAAATGGTGTCTAGTCATCTGTCCTGCAGTGGTCACCTCTGATCTATTTGTCCCCTGTACAAATGGCACAATGGGCCAGCTCATTCAACTTCCTGGTCAGGAAACCAAATGTTACAGAAAAGAGACCAAATAAAATGAAGTCACACATGAGATATTCGGGAAAAAAGACACAGAACTTATTACACGTGCAAACTTGACTGGAATCCTGTCCCAAGTGAACCCTGATTCCCAGCTCTACTTTGTTTTTACATCACAAAATCAGGAAATTGCAGTAATAGGTAGATTCATATAACCTAGTGGGAAAAAAAGTAAAGGAGTATATAGGTCAGAATTTTGAAAGGGATGTGATCCACCAGTTGTAGAATATGAACTGTCAATGGTGTGTCCTAGGAATATGATAAGGTATCATGTTTTGTGTCCCCATGAAGAACCCTGCTTCTCCATGAGTGATGCAGACAGTGGGTGTGGAGGTAGTGGCTAGATCTCATGGGGCAGACTAGGAACAAAGCCTACATTGGACCAAGGATTGTTTCCAGTTATGGTCCATGCTATCTCTACATTTTTGTGATGATTCCATCTCTCAGCAGTGTGTAACTAGTTAATTTGAGGCCTCACTGAGCAGGAGGGGAGATCCAACAGGCTCAGAGAGGCAGTCCAGGGTCATGAATTAGAAAGTGATGGAGCTGAGTGACATGAGTGACTTTATTGGCACTTGTGATTATAGCCAGGGTTACATGGTAAACCCACGCTAACTCATTTCAAAGTCTTCAACATAAGCACATATGTAAATTTTTTCAAACATAATATTCATAGTTTCCATGATAAAAACACATATTTAGGTGAGAGCTTAGCAATATTGTGGAAATTGAGTTCTGAGTGAAGAAAATACAGAGGCACATGAGGACTTTCTTTGGAGAGTGGGCCAGAGAAGATGAAGGTGATTTTCATGCCCTGCTGGCTGTTGCTCCAGGAGAAGATCCCACCTCCTCTTTACCCAAACTTATAGGTGATTAGAAAGCACAGGGTACCACCTCCATGTTCTGGGTAAGGAGAAATATTTCCTGGAGAAGGGGTTATCTGACTGACAGGTAGATGGATATAGGAGCATAGGGTGGGTAAAGTGTGGCTTCCAGATCATGAACTTAAACTATCTAACTTACCCTATATCAACATCACTCGTTTGCACTACAATAATGTTGGGCAAAAATCATGCACAGACATCAAAACTAATGTACAACAAATAAATTTATAATTGATTAAGACGGCATTTCAAAAAACTGTTGAAATAACTGTTGTATCAACTGCTGCAAGTGTTGAATATTTGTCAGCAAACTTTATACATGAAAACACAGTTCATTTGTCTGGTTCCATTCATAATAATGGGAAACTAAAAAATGAAGGTAGTATAAGAGAAAGAATCTCTCAAGAATGGTTAACCAGTCTTCATGGCAATTCATCACACTTGCTGAGGTGTGATTCCAAAAAAACAATTCCTCCAGACACTTCACAGTTTCAGAGACTTTTCTGTAAATGTAATCTTGTTTTCTGGAAATTTGCTTTACAGTAAAGGTACTCCCAATTCCATTACATTCATATGCCTTTGTGTGAGTTATCAGTTTACCATCTAGAGGTGACTGGTCGTATAAAACTTTTCTTTTTTTGCAAGTTTTCTCACTTCTGAGCCTCTTCATGTGAATAGAAGACTGACTTATAGCAGAAGGATTTTTTTCACATTCATTACATTGATTTTTCACTTTATGAATTCTCTGAAGTCTGTTGATGTCTAATTTCTGGCTAATGGAATGTTCATACTTACAGCATTCAAACAATATGACCTGTTGTGAATTCTATATTCATACAAGCCTGAATTCCCAGAAAATGTCTTCCACATTCATTACACTAGACAGGGATGCCCACTTTCACCATTGCTATTCAATATAGTACTGGAAGTTATAGCCAAACCCATTGGGCAAGAAGAAGTTTCACCTCACCCCGGTGAGAATGGCTCACATTCAGAAATCTACCAACAACAGATGCTGGAGAGGATGTGGGGAAAGAAGGACACTAACCCACTTTTGGTGGGAAGGCAAACTGGTCAAGCCACTATGGAAGTCAGTCTGGAGATTCCTCAGAAACCTGAATATAACCCTACCATTCAACCCAGCCATCCCACTCCTTGGAATTTACCCAAAGGAAATGAAATTGGCAAACAAAAAAGCTATATACACCTTAATATTTATTGCAGCTCAATTCACAATAGCTAAGACCTGGAACCAACCCAAATGCCCATCAACAGTAGACTGGATAAAGAAATTATGGGACATGTACTCTCTACAATACTATACAACAGTCAAAAAAAACAGTGAAATCCAGTCATTTGCAACAAAATGGAGGAATCTGGAAAACATCATGCTGAGTGAAATAAGCCAATCCCAAAGGGACAAATATCATATGTTCTCCCTTATCGGTGACAACCGAGCACCAAAAAGGAAACCTGTTGAAGTGACATGGACACTATGAGAAACAATGACTTGATCACCACTTGTCCTGACTTTCGAGGGAAATCTTACTACTTTATTAGTTTTTTTTTTTTTTTTTTGTACTGGATACCATTAGTTGAACTCTTTATTTAACACACAATTATTCTTAGGTGTTTAAGTTTAACTGAAGAGTGACCCTGTGAAATATGAGTGGGAATAAGAGAGGGAGTACAGGTACAGTTTGGCACATGCTCAACTGGACTTACCTCTAATGGTATAGTTAGAAACATGCCAGGGGATTCAAATTTAATTCCATCAAGGTGGCATGTACCAATGCCATCTCACTAGTCAAAGTGATCACTTTTAGTTCATAATTGATCGTAATGATAGGTCTAAGAGTCAAAGGGATCATATAAACAATAGTGTCTGCTAATACTGATAGAATTAAAAAGGAGGGAACCATAAAACATGGGAAGTAGGATACACAGCAGACTCATAGAATGGTAGATGTCCTGCTAAACAGCACTCTGGCCTCAGAATCAGCCCTTAAGGCATTCATATCTGGTTGAAAAGTCCATGAGAGTATTTCAGGCATGGAAAGCCAAGACACTGTGGCAAAAAAAAAAAAAAAAAAAGTGACCTAAATGAAAGATCTCTGTGAGATCCCAGCAGAAAGTATGAGCCATCAAAGAAGGAGGTACCTTTCTCTGAAGGGAGGAGAGAACCTATAATCTGACTATGGCCTTGTCTAAAAAAGACCAGAGTTGGTGAACTCAAGAGGCTTCCATAGCCATGGTAGCTCATGACAAGATTCTCGGTTGATTACTGACATCTATTTATGAGTGTCAATTGTTAAATCAACAACAGGAGTCACTGTGCACTTACTCCCCATGTAAGATCTCTGTCCTTAATGTGTTGTACTATGTGAATTAATGGCATAACTAGTACTCAAACAGTACTTTATACTTTGTGTTTCTCTGTGGGTGCAAACTCTTGAAATCTTTACTTAGTATATACTAAATTTATCTGTATATAGATAATTGAAAATGAATCTTGATGTGAATGGGATGGGAGAGGGAGTGGGAGGTTCGATTGTTGAAGGTGGGAGTGAGGTTATGTGGGACAAAAGCCACTATAATCCAAAAGTTGTACTTTGGAAATGTATATTTATTAAATAAAAGTTAAAAAAAAGAAACCCCCATCTGAATTCTCTGATGTATGATAGATTTGTGACAAATGCTTTTTTAACACTATTAATATTTATAAGCTTTCTCCGTTACATGCGTCCCTGTTGGATAAGATGTGATTTCCAGCAGAAAATTTTGTCCTAATACTTACATTATTTGAAGGGAAACTCTTCCACATTCAATATATACATTCTCTCCCTCTCTCTCTCTCTCTCTCTCTCCCTCCCTCCCTCCCTACCTCTCTCACTCTTTCTTTCTATGACAGATAGAGTTAGAGAGACAGAGAAAAAAATCTTTCTTACATTGGTTCTCCCCCAAATGGCTGCTGCAGCTGGAATTATGCCGATCCAAAGCCAGGAGCCAGGTGCTTCCTCCTGGTCTCCCATGCTGGTGCAGGGGCCCAAGGACTTGAGCCATCCTTCACTGCCTTCCCAGGCCACAGCAGAGACCTGGACTGGAAGGAGTGACCAGTACTAGAACCTGGTGCCCATATGAAATGCCAGTACCACAGGGGGATGATTAACCAAATGAGCCACAGAGCCAACCCCTTATTATATTCTCAAAGTCTCTCCCATTCAAAATAGATGATGGATTATGAGGTATGACCTATGACAAAAAGCTTTCCCACGTTTATTTCATTCATGAGATCTCCACTTTGTGAATTCTCTAATGTTGTACCTGAGATTTTGGCAAAGCTTTCCAACACTCATTACATTCATAAGATTTCTCCCCCATGTGAATTCTCTGATGTCTTGTGGGCTATGACTTCTAAGTAAAGGCTTTTCCACAAGATTACTTTCAAAGGTTTTTTTCCCTGTATGAATTTGATGATGTGCAATGTGGGCTAAATTATGGTAAAAGACTTTGAGTCATTACATTCATAAGATTTTCCCCATGTGAATTCTGTTATGCTTGATGAGGTATAATTGGCACCAAAGGCATATCCACACTGACTATAATCTTATTGTTCTCCCTTGATGGATTCTGTTATTTAATGAAAAGGAACTTGCACAAAAAGGCAATTGTGTGGAAAATTCCCTGTTAATTCTGTGATGTTTTATTAGTTGAAAATTATAACAAAAGGCTTTCTACTATCATTATTCATGACATTTCTCCCCATGTGAATTCTCTGATGCTTTGTGATGTTTGTCATATGAAGAGGCTTCTGCACAGTCATTGCCATCATAAATTTTCTCTCCTGTGACTTCTTTGATGTTCATTGAGCTCTGAATTGCATAGAAATTTGCAAAGAAAACTTCTCCACAGTCATTACATTCATAAGGTTTCTCCTGTATGGCTTCTCTAATTATTTACAAGGCTTGACTTTTGGCCAAAGGCTTTTCCAAGTCATTGCATTCAGAAGGTTTATCCCCTGTGTGACTTCTCTGATGCCTTTTGAGGTTTGACTTATGGGTAAAGACTTTCCAGTCTTTACATTCATCAGGTTTTTCCCCTGTGCAAATTCTCTGATGTGGGTGCTAGAGCTGACTTACTCAGAAAGGCTTTTCCAGTCATTACATTCATAATCTTTCTACGCTGTGTGAATTCTCTGATGACTTATGAGGCTTGATTTGTGACCAAATGGTTTCCCACTGTCATTGTATTCATAGGGTTTCTCCTCTGTATTACTTCTCTGATGTAGGATGAGAGATGACTTCTTAAGAAAGGTTTTTCCACAGTCATTACATTCATAAGGTTTTCCCCCCGTGTGAATTCTCTGATGTAGGATGAGATGTGACTTCCACATAAAGGCTTTCCCACAGTCATTACATTCATAAGGCTTTTCCCCTGTGTGAATTCTCTGATGATTTATGAAATGGGACTTCCGGCCAAGGCTTTTCCACAGTCATTACATTCATAAGGTTTCTTCCCTGTGTGAATTCTCTAATGCTTTGTGAGGGCTGATTTACAGCGAAAGGCTTTTCCACAGTCATTACATTCATAAGGTTTCTCTCCTGTGTGAATTCTTTGGTGATTTATGAGGTGTGACTTCTTCCCAAAGGCTTTTCCACAGTCATTACATTCATAAGGTTTCTCCCCTGTGTGAATTCTCTGATGATTTATGAGGTATGCCTTCTTCCCAAAGGCTTTCCCACACTCATGGCATTCATAAGGTTTCTCTCCTGTGTGAATTTTCTGATGAGTTATGAGCTGTGACTTCCGGCCAAAGGCTTTACCACAGTCATTGCATTCATAAGGTTTTTCCCCCATGTGAATTCTCTGATGTAGGATGAGATGTGACTTCCACATAAAGGATTTTCCACAGTCATTACATTCATAAGGCTTATCCCGTGTGTGAATTCTCTGATGATTTATGAAATGGGACTTCCGGCCAAAGGCTTTTCCACAGTCACTGCATTCATAAGGTTTCTCCCCTGTGTGAATTTTCTGATGCCTTAAGAGGTGTGGCTTCTGGCCAAAGGCTTTCCCACACTCATTGCATTCATAATGTTTCTCCCCTGTGTGAATTCTCTGATGATTTATGAAATGTGACTTCTGGCCAAAGGCTTTATCACAGTCACTGCATTCATAAGGTTTTTCCCCCGTGTGAATTCTCTGATGTAGGATGAGACATGACTTCCACATAAAGGCTTTTCCACAGTCACTGCATTCATAAGGTTTCACCCCTGTGTGAATTTTCTGATGAGTTATGAGGTGTGACTTCTGGCCAAAAGCTTTGCCACACTCATTGCATTCATAAGGTTTCTCTCCTGTGTGAATTTTCTGATGAGTTATGAGGTTTGACTTCTGGCTACAGGCTTTACCACATTCATTGCATTCATAAGGTTTTTCCCCCATGTGAATTCTCTGATGTAGGATGAGACAAGACTTCCACATAAAGGCTTTTCCACAGTCATTACATTCATAAGGCTTATCCCCTGTGTGAATTCTCTGATGCTTTGTGAGGGCTGATTTACAGCGAAAGGCTTTTCCACAGTCACTGCATTCATAAGGTTTCACCCCTGTGTGAATTTTCTGATGTGTTATGAGGTGTGACTTCTGGCCAAAGGCTTTTCCACACTCATTGCATTCATAAGGTTTCTTCCCTGTGTGAATTCTCTGATGATTTGTGAGGACTGATTTACAGCGAAAGGCTTTTCCACAGTCATTGCATTCATAAGGTTTCTCTCCTGTGTGAATTCTTTGGTGATTTATGAGGTGTGACTTTTTCCCAAAGGCTTTTCCACAGTCATTACATTCATAAGGTTTCTCCCCTGTGTGAATTCTCTGATGATTTATGAAATGGAACTTCCGGCCAAAGGCTTTTCCACAGTCATTACATTCATAAGGCTTATCCCCTGTGTGAATTTTCTGATGCTTTGTGAGGGTTGATTTACAGCGAAAGGCTTTTCCACAGTCACTGCATTCATAAGGTTTCTCTCCCATGTGAATTCTCTGGTGATTTATGAGGTGTGACTTTAGGCCAAAAGCTTTTCCACAGTTATTACATTCATAAAGTTTATTCCCTGTGTTAATTATCTGATGCTTTATGAGGTGTGACTTCTGACCAAAGTATTTTCCACAGTCATTACATTCATAAGGTTTCTCACCTGAGTGAATTCTCTGATGATTTATGCGATGTGACTTCTGGTAAGTGGCTTCTCCATGTTCATTAAACACATGAGAGTTTTCCACTACGTGAGTACCGTAATTAATTGCACGGCAGAATTTATAACTGAATGATTTTCCACAAGACTTACATGCATAGGGTTTCTTCCCTATATGTGGTCTATGATTTATTTTAAGAGGTGATTGATCAATGACAGGTTCCAAAGAACTACTATATTCATAAACTTTCTCTCTACTGGGACTTTGTTGATGCATACTGAGGTTAGAATTTTTATGGAAATCATGTTCTATTTGAGTTGTCTTGCCAATAGTGGCAGTTGACTTCTTACTTTCTACCATAAAATGCCTCTCAGATTGACAAAATATATTTTTCCTTTTGAAGACTTTGCCTTTTCCGATTGGTTCAAATGACTGTTGCACAGTCTGGTTTTTGTGCTGTTGATTAAGAGCCTCACAGATCTGGAGAGCATTCCCAGGCACATTAGTAGCATCAAATTTTTCTCCAGTTTGTAGTTGAACAGGCCCACAGTGCAGATACACATTATGACATACATTGCATTCTTCAGGTTTCATTCCTGAATAGATTCTCTTTTTGATACTCAGTTTTGGAATATGGTTTGAACTTAAACGAAGTGTTTTTCTTAATTCAATGATCTTGGGAGTTGATGTCTTATTGTTTTTCATAACATTCTGGTTCAGATTTTTGTCCTGACTTTTCTGGTTTTTACTAATCAGGTCATCCCTTTTCATGGCAACTGAAGTGAGAAAAAAAAATGGTGCTGTCAATAAATCAAATATAATTCTTTTTCCTGGCATACTCATGTAAAAGGAATGAAGTTACTTGTATTTAAGAGGGATAGAATTAACAAAATGAATACAAGTCATTGCTTGGAATGTCTGCATCCAAACACAGTGCCAATTTAAGCCCAGGATACTCTGCTTCAAATACAGCTCTCTACTAATGTATACCAGGGGACAGGAGATAATGGTTCTTGTGCTTGGGACCCTGTGATACATCAGATTGGAATAGTTGGAATGCCAGGCGTTTGGCTTCAAATTAGTCAGACCTAACTGCTGCAGGTATCTGGGGAGGTAGCTAATAGGAAATCTCTTTCTCACTGTTTCTCCTCTCACTGACTTTCTGCCTTTCACAAAGGTGAAACAACTATATAAGATTTTAAAGAAAGGACATATGTTTGGTAAAAATAATCACCTATTGCCAAGAAATCAATTTTTCCTTGTCCTATTCATTCCAGTTCATTTTTATAAAATTGTCTGTTTTGTACTTCTCTGATATTTCAAACATCAATATGGGAAACTTTTGCTGGATCATTTTCTTGCAGGTGGAGAAGAGTTTAATGTGTCTGTATTCCAAGCAGGATCACATTTAAGGGACAAGATTTGCATCTGTGGTTGTCTCATGTTCTGTCTTCCCAGGGAAACAGCATTTGTGGGATTTTTCTAATGAAAAACTGTTTTATCTGCACTCTATTACAGTTTCCCCATATTTCTAAGGAAATCTGATATCCTCAGCCTCTGAGAACTACAATAGTTACAGAAAGTCCCAATATACCACCTTCGGTATACATTCACAAGCAATTTAAAGAATTTGTTTCTGCAGACCAGAATCTGCTTAATTTCTTGAAAATTTATTTCTATATCATTGTGCAGTTGTCATTCCTGGTGACCTCCTTTCATTTTTTACATAAACACTCCTCTGTGATAATATGCAATTCTGGAGATTTTGATCAGTTGCCGATTTACACATGAAACTTCATTTCCTTTGCCTTTACCAGAGATACTGATCTCCATAGATACTGTAGAATAACTGTGTCTGAAGTAAGACTTGGAAAAAATTCATAGAAAGAGCACCACTCAACATCTGCTGCAATGATTCTACTTTGGCCTCCCTGACCATTATGTACACACTGACCTGGAAGGCTATGATGTAAGCATTCTTTCCCCATCCAGGGCTCTGCTCCTTGCTCCAACTTCAAGATCAAGTCAGGTTTGGTCATGCAGTGCCCTATTAATGGAAATAATGTAACACTTTGTGAAATCACTATCTTGGGTTAATTAAAGGTGAACAGCTTGGTCCAGGAGCTATGCAACAAATGTTCCAATTTGAGTTCCTTCTCAGAGGGTATATAATCAGATTCTTCATGGACTCAAATTCTATTCCTGTCCCTCATTTATAAAGTTTATTAATAGTGCTCACTTATTTGTCAAATAGTGAGAAAATGTTACCACTGGGCATGTGATGAGTGTCACTCACCCAAGGAGAACAGGCTGCTGTAGGTCTCCAGCATCACATCCCTGTACAGGATTTTCTGAGCTTGGTTCATGTTCTGCCATTCCTCCCAGGTAAAGTACACAGCCAGGTCTTCAAATGTTATCATCACCTGTGATAGAACACTCCTGGTCAACATGTCAACTCTGTCACATAACAAAAAATGGCAGATGTATAACTACTGCATGCATATGGAGGAAGAAGGAAGGATGCCATTTCATTTCAGATTTGTTGAGCATTTGGACAGCCACACAGAAGCATTCAACAGGGGATCAAACCTGTGGTATAAAGGCTGTGAAAAATGCCCAAGCTGGAGGGAAACAGGAATTTCTGTTCAGAAAGGCCAGACTATGTCAAGGGCAATTGCACAGGAGGCTGAAAGGGGGACAATAGTCACTCTGGAATGAGCAATGTTCAGAAGAATGTAGAAGTATTCAGGGAAAAAGACAAGAAACCATCAGGGAAGCTATGAAGAGTTTGAACAGAGAAGAATTTCCAGGAAAACACCATGCACAGTCAATGCAATTATGGCAGAGAAAAAAAAATTTTAAATTGAGACATTACAGACTTAACTTAGTGTTTATGAAGTCAGCTCAGATACTCTATCTCTGCATCAAATTTCCAAAGAAATTTCCTTGAGAAATTCTGTACTATAATCTGCATTTGTGACTGAGGGAAATGCAGAGAGATTTGTTTGAGAACCTGTAGTAGGCACCAGTATTATGGTGCAGCAGATAAGCCTGCACCCTCCACCTGTAATTCAGGCATCCCAATGTGAACAGTTTGAGTCCTTGGTGCTCCACATGGGATGCCTGTGGTCATTTTGTGAATGAACCAGTAGATGGAAGGTATCTCTTACTACCCATCCTTCCATATCTCTATTTGCTTTTCAAATAAGTTAATAAATAAATCTTGGGGCCAGAGCTGTGGTACAGTGGGTTAACACCCTTGCCTAAAGTGCTGACATCTCATATGGGTGCCATTTCTAGACCCAGCTGCTCCACTTCTGCTCTAGCACTCTGCTATGACCTGGGAAAGCAGTAGAAGAAGAACCAAACCCTTGGGCCCTTTAACCCATGTGGGAGACTGAGAAGAAGCTCTGGCTCCTGGCTTCAGATCAGCACAGCTCCGGGCATTGTAGGCAGCCAAGGAGTGAACCAGCAGATGAAGATCTCTCCTCTCTCTCTCTCTCTGCCTCTCTCTCTTTGTAACTCTGACTTTCAAATAAAAAATAAATTTTTAAATAAAAACTTAAAACATAAAAGAACCTGCAATAGATTTTTTTCCTCACACAGCCCTTATGCTATCTCTGAATCAAGGTCAGCTCCCCAAATTATGAAGGTCTGCATTACTCTAACAATTAAAAAAATAAATGCAACTGATTTGTGTTTTAGCACTAGCTAACTCTTACCCTTGCAGAATGTTCAGTGTTTATTTCCAGGGTGGTACTGAAACACTGCCCACTACATCATCTATATAACAATAATGACTGTATTTGACATCATGACCCCCAATTTCGAATATTATCCTTGAAGCCTCATTTAAAAATATAAATAATATGTATTTTGCTATGGCAACAGAAAGATGAGACCAAATTGCCTTAGATTACTTCAATGCTTGATAGTCATGACAAATTCATTTGCCTTGTTTTTATATATTCCCTAAGAATAAAATTTATCTTTATTTTTCCATTTTTATTAACAAATTATTATAAATCTAAAAAGAAAACTGACAGCAACCTGAGAATAATTAAAAAAAAAAAAACACTTACAGGGCCAGTGCTGTTGCACAGTGGGATAAAGCCCCAGCCCTCAGAGCCAGCATCCCATATGAGTGCCAGTTTGAGTCCTGGCTTCTCCACCTCAAATCCTGCTCCTACAAATATTACTGGGAAGGTACTGGAGGATGACTCAAGGGCGTGGACCCATGCACCTATGTGAGAGATGCAGAAGGATCCTGCCTCTTGCCTATAGATTGGCTCAGCTCTGACCTTTGTGGCCTTTTGGGGAATGAACCAGCAGATGCAAGACTCTCTCTCTCTTTTTCTGTTACTCTCTGTGACTATGTCTTTCAAATGCATAAAATAAATATGATTTTAAAAGTACACAATCTGCAGGTGATGTATTAATTTTCTTTGCTCTTTGAAATATCTGGAGGTGTCATGAATCATTCCTGGAAGAAAACATAAATGCAAGGATTTAAAAGAAAATTTCATGGCTTTCTTTCTACATTGCACTGTAGAAAACGGAGTGCTAGAATGAATAAAGAATCATGAATACATAAATAAAGAAAACAAACTTCATGGAGGAAAAATTATTTAAACCTGCAAATATATGGCAACTGAACCCACCTCTATTAAGTGGCAGAGATTAATCAGAAGTTATCTTTGGTTTAATGAAAGCATTGCAAAAAAATTTTTTTTCCCCCAGGAATTACTGTCATATTGTTTTTGTTCCTTTTCCTCATTTTCTGTAAAGTCAATTCCTATGGTCATTTCTGTGATACAAGAAATCATGTTTCAGATAAAAAAAAAGTGGAGATAAATGAGAATAGTTAGGGTGATACTGAAGAAAAAAGGACAATTAGGAAAAAGGGAACTTCCAACGTTGAAACTGATTAATGTTACGAGAAATCACTTAAATGTGGGGAATCAGTGTTCAGGAAGACCAGACACTTATTCTTTCTTTTTATATCCAATTACTGCATCAAACTTAATGTTGAGCTTTCGTTTTGCAAGTGCCAGGAAATGCTCAGGAAGGATCCTTTCCAATATCATTAAAAAGCGTATAGAAGATGGCACAAAGATCATTTTCTCCTCTGTCAGGATCCCATTCATCAGCTTGTTTACCACTTGCTCAGGTTCCAGGGTGGGTCCCAGGCTGGTGCTTGGATTTTTGATGAAGCCAGTGTTTATGAAATTCGGGCAGAGACACGTCGTCTTGACTCCGGTTCTTTCTAAGGCAGCCAGCTCGTCAGTCAAAGCTCTATGAAACCCAACAGCAGCAAACTTGCTGGAACAATAAGCCAGTAAGAAGGGGACCACAGTATGTCCACCTGCGGAAGCCACAGTGACAATATGACCGTGATTGTTCTTCATCATCGCTGGAAGAAATGCCTTTGTAGTCCAGAAATGCGCAAGCACATTAACTTCAAAAGCTTTTTCAATCTGAGGGTCTTGTGTAGCAAACAAATCAGATGTGTAGACTACACCAGCATTATTTACTAAGATGCTAACATCTCCAATTTCTGCCTTTACCTTCTTTGCAGAGCTGTAAATATCTTCTCGGTTACTGCAGTCAACCACAAAAGGATGAGCCTGGGCACCCAGTCTCCTGCATTCAGCAGCTGTTTCCTCAATTCCATGCTTTGGAGGTAGTCAGCAGGAATGGAGCATTGCAAAAATTTTATTAAATGATACTGTAACAATAAAAAACAGTAAAACTTTGTTATTGTTGAAATTAATTACATTCAGTAAAATTTACATTAATGAAAGTTATTTTGGGGACTGACACTGTGGCTTAGTGGGTAAAGCTGCTGCCTGTATCCCATGTGAGTGACAGTTCAAAACAGTGACAGAGCTGCAATCAACAGTCACCCATACAGGTTTCATCTCAAATGGCCTGAACACCCAGCTCCATCACATTGTCATCTTGGATGAAATAGACTTTCTTTCTTTCTTATTTTAAGAATTTTATTTATTTATTTGACAGGTAGAATTACAGACAGTGAGAGAGAGAGGCAGAGAGAAATGTCTTCCTTCCATTGGTTCACTCTCAAAATGGACACAATGCATGGAGCTGTGCTGATCTAAAGCCAGGAGTCAGGTGCTTCTTCCTGGGCTCCCACCCAGGTGCAGGAGCCCAAGCACCTGGGCCATCTTCTGCTGCTTTGCCAGGCCACAGCAGAGAGCTGGATAAGAAGAAGAGCAGCCGGGACTAGAAATGGTGCCCATATGGGATGCCGGCACCCCACATGGAGGATTAACCTACTGCACCACAGTGCTGGCTCTGGATGAAACAGTCTTTCTACAGAACTTTTGTAGCTGCCTCTGTACAATGGGAAACACATTGGTCTTGTTTCAGTGCACCAATTTTTGATAAAAATATCTTTAAAATCTCAACCTTATTCACCCTTTCTCCAGCTCCAGAACTGAGGATGTGGCATTGGTGTCCCTTCCTAGGCCAGCCAAGATCTACAGGGTGCACCTGAATGACATAACTTAATACCTCAGATCTATGACTGTCACCTATGCCACCAAGAGACAGACACCTGTCCTGCTCTCCAAGGTTCCTTTCACCCTCACACTAACATCCACAGACACAGAAACCAACCACACAGTTCTTGAGCAATATGAGGAAAGCCCCAGAGTCAGGAATTCTGTGAAGATGGTGGGAATGGTTGGAATGGCACATGCTGAGAAGGAGGCCAGAGGAGATTTCCCATGGTCCTGAGCTGCTGACATCATGGGCAGATGAGGCTAGATTCCCAGATACCAATGCATGTCTCCATTAGAAGCAATGAAGATGATCCATACATCAGCTAGAAAATCAGTCTCCTTGGACACAGAGGGGTTACATCAGAACTTGTCTAACCACAAGAGATATCCACATAATAATCAATTCCTCATTAATGCTTGACATATTTACAACCTAAAGAAACATAGTAAAAGTGGAGAAATTCAAATGTGGAAAGAATTCTTGGGAATTGTATTTAAATTTATCATGATTTGATCCTATTGAAAACCTAAAATTTGTTTTTAAATTTTATAATGAAAAAGGATAAAAAAGATGTTCCATCTTATGTCTCTACAGCATAAGATATACATCAACTTTCCCAGGTTCTATATGCATTTATGAACAAAGTTTCATAGGTGTACTCAGTAGTGTGGCTCCAATATGTCTTAACCAGGGATTCAACTAAATTTAACAAGGAATTTTAGAAGAATTCCAAAATATGTATCAGAAGAAAAATACATACTTTACTTGGTGTATCTCATTTTAATTATACTATTGTCTCCATTTCCAATTGTCAGATGTACAAAAAAATCCCAGAAGCAGCAGAGTTAGTCCAACATGATGAGGAATAAAATACTTTTTAAGTTGCAACTTGGCTAGAGAAAATGAGAATTCACAGATCCCAGATTAAAATAACCAAGATGGCTCAATAAAAGAAAACTCAATGTCTTCTTACACTGACATTTATTGCCTCAGATTTATTTAACCAAAAGGAGATTACTCCAGCTATTCCCCATTAGGCATCCCAATTTAATCTGCTAAATCTATTAAAAAAAAAAGCACCTCATGATAATTACTAAAATCATACTGCTGTATGCCACCCACCATGTCCACTGTACCTTATACCTAATGTTAACAAATCTGATGCATCTCAATAGATAAATGATGTGTCTTAACTATTACAAGTGTGGCAAATGTGTTTTGTTCAAAGTTTTTACAAAAGCCCCTCCGTCTCAGTTTGCCTTCACCTTGAAAAGATACTTCTTCTGAGGTATACATGGACACCTCATTGACTTTGCCATCAAACAGAATTTTTGCAAAAAAAACTAACCACACCCACCACTTATCAGGAACACAAGCATGCATCACATAGATGACAAGCTCCATGAATGAGATGATTTGACAGACTTCTCAAGTACATACAAGCCTAATCATCCTACTTGGGTTTTAGTGCAATGCATACCTCATTTACAAAATTAATTGTCACTGATGTTACAAATCAGTCCAGCTTATATGGGCCTCCCTCTGATGAAAGGGGCTAAAATCCATCAAAATAAACTCTAGAAACTGTCCTTGTGCTCTCAGTGACTTTTTCATTCTAGGGGCTCACAAACCTTCTAAATTCTTTAGATCACCTATGATGATCATTAGTTCTCAAGGACTATGATGCAAGTAATTTCCCCTCTTGGCATCTTGTTATTAACTATGCTGTATGAGAAATGAAGTCTACACACCTTGTGCCTACAATTCTCCAAACCATGTTGTCTGCTAGGACATCAGCCATGAATATAGGACAATAAAATTTGGGCATGGTTACTGAGGTCTCCTTAATAAAAGATGGACTGGGGCCGCAACTGTGGTGCAGTGGTGTAATCCTCCACATGCAGTGCTGGCACCCCATATATGCACTAGCTCTAGTCCCCACTGCTCCTCTTCCCATCCAGCTCTCTGCAATAGCCTGGGAAAGCAGGAGAAGATAGCCTTGGACCCCTGCAGCTATGAGGAAGACCTGGAAGCTCCTGGCTACTGGCCTAGCATCTGCCCATCTCCAGCTGTTGCATTCATTAGGGGAGTGAACCAGTGTATGGAAGACCTTTCTCTCTTTCTGTTCCTCTCACTGTCTGAACTGTACTTGTCAAATAAATAAACCTTAAAAACTATATGTAGGATGGACCAAAATGTGGCATACTCTATTTCAGCTCCAGTATCTACTGTCTATGTAAGTGTCTCAGAGTAACACAGTAGGTCACCCTCTAGCAAACAAGAAAAGCTATTTAAGTTCAGAGGACACCATTCTGCTGCCTGTTGACCTTATTACTGTTAGTCTGGATGCTTTCATCCATTGCAATCCAGAGACCCAATTTTCCCATAGATATTAACATCAGGAAACATAAAAATATGGTAAGAAAAGCTTAAACTGAGAGTTATTATTAATAAGTATTTTAACAAACTTTCTTAGAACCCATCTAGTCCAAACCTTGGACAATTGGAAGCTGTTGTACTTAGCCCACCCATAATCGAGATGCGTTCTAATTCTTTTAACTGCAAGGAGAGTATCATAGACATTAATGCTCCAAACTGATCCAGTTCCCTGCTAATGTGTCTGGGAAAGCAGCACAGGATGACTCAAATTATTTGAGCTCCTGCTCCCATGTGAGAGACCTGGAAGAAGACCCTAGCTCCTGACATCAGTCTGGCCTAGCCACAGTCATTGCAGCCATTTGAGGAGTGAACAAATCAGAAGGAAGATCTCTCCCTCTGTCACTTTATAGCACTGCAATTCAAAGAGCTGAAAAACTTACCATGACTCATTATGTCATTAATTTAGTACATGACGCTGAGAAAATCAGAACTATTTGTTAAAAATTGGTTGCAATGCACTAGATTTATAATTTTTGAATGTATCTTTCCAATGTATAATGTAGTCCTGTGCTAGTTTAGAGTATCAGAAATTTAAAATGTGCAAAGTTTTTAAAAATATTTATTGTGAGACAGAGTTAGAGATATAGAGAGGAAGAGAAAGAGAGAGAGGCTTCTACCCACAGGTTCACCCCCCAAGTGGCCAAAATGGCTGGAGCTGGGCCAATCTGAAGCCAGGTGCCAGAAGCCACGAGTCAGCAGCTTCCTCCAGGTCACCAATGTGGGTGCAGGGGCCCAAGCATTCATGCTATATTCCACTGCTTTCCTAGGCCATTAGCAAAGAGCTGGATTGGAAGTGCAGAAGCAGGGACTCAAACTGGTGCCCACATGGAATGCTGGTGCTGCAGGTGGAGGCTTAATTCTACTATGACACAGTGTGGGCCAGTGACAGGTTTTAGGAAGATGTCTTTTATGTAGACTAGGCTACAATATTGTAAGGTAAGGTTTAGCTTTTATTTTCCACACATCAGTATTCATCTTTTAGCAATTATAAATATTGACTATCATATGCATCTTATGAAGCATTATATTGATGTTACCTGTACACAACCATCAGGCACTTCCACTGTAGAATGCATTAATGTGTATATGTATTTTTGTTTGTGTGTACATGAATGCACAACTTTTGATGGAGTTAGTACTGAAAGTAATACTGTAAGAAATCCTACACTCATTTCAAAACTTCTGTCCTCCCCAGAGTTGGCTGTCTATCAGGCAGACCACAGGACCCCTTTTGCTGTTATGGATTGAAATGTGCCTCCCTAAAACTCAAACATTGAAGTGCTAACCACCAATGTGACTCTATCTGAAGAAAGTGCTTTTAAGCAGGTCAAATGATATATATATATGTCTGTCACATCAGGAGAAAGGCTTCTGGAAAAATCAAGCCTATTAGGGCCTTGATCTGATATTTTCAACCTCTGCAACTCTCAGTTGTAAAATTCCACAATTTAAATCAAATTCTCTGTGGTATTTTGTTAGCAAATTTATACATCCTCATTTCTGCCAGTGTTTTCTGCAGTCATCTGGAAGGTCCTCATGATTAGCAGAGAAATATAGAAACTAAAAACTATGATTTTAGATGACCAAATATCTACTAACACAAAAAAGGATATCCCAGAAGCAACCTACTACCATTCCACAGGACCCAGAAAAAAACAAGAATGAATCAAGTTGCAGGGCAGTGAATAATGAAAAAAAGTGAATAATGAAAGATAACTGT